TTGATAAGTAAAATTATCCCAGCTACAATGACAGACAACAAATATTCCATTTATAGTATTACAACTAAAACCATTTTTGACGCTGCCACCGCATTTTGTCCTTCATGAGCCTTCGTAGACAAGATGGAGGTGCAAGATGGCAGCTGCCTGTACTGGCGACCCGTGACCATGGAGACATAAACAGCTTCTTATAAGGTCAAAATAATAAAACAAGGTCTTTGTCTGTAATGATTAGACATGTTTTTTATTATTGTCATTAGTGATTATCTCAATTTTGGCTAAAAGACTTGACAAAATCCTACACACTGTGTCTTTAAAGCTCCTTAAATGGTATTTGTCAGAGTTAAGTGGGTAAAAACACTCGCAGGGAAGTTAAGTTGAGGATTATTTATATGTCATAGAAGCATCATCATCATCTTCAACACACTTTGGAGTGTCTGTGCTTGGCACTGATATATGGGATTTAATGCTCTGTCACAGCGTATCAGCTCATGTATTAAAAAKACACAAAGAAACTCCTCAGTAAAAGTTTAGGTGTGAGGGCTGAAAGCAGAAGAGTTGAGAGTCTGAACAAATATTGCTCAAGATTATTTTAAATGATTACAAGGAAATTTGGCTGCTTGAAGCCAAACCATAAAAATAATTCAGTTGTTTTCAAACTTTAGCACAGTTTGTGGCTACATAAAAAAGCAGAACACGCAGCAGAAGCTAGACTAATGCAACAGAAATCAGTTAAAAAAACAAGGAAAAAACATTTGGTTAAAAAGCGTAGTCTGAGAATACTGTATATTAAAGAATATAAGAATATATTAAAATACCTGCTTCATACATCAGGAAGCTGCACAAATCTCCGTTTACCATCAGAATCATACATTATGTTTCAGACATGGTTGGACCAGCTCTCAGACAGAGGCTGGTCCAACCTGAGGACTGAACTCTCAAACCTAAGATGAGTCATGTCTGCAGTTCAGCGCAGCGATGACTGCTCAGACCTCTGCACTGAAGAAACTAAACAACTTCTCTCAGACKACATCCTTACAGGATTTAAGTGATTTTTTAAGAATTTTTAATTTTACTAAGTCTTTTTAATATTAAGTTCCACTTTTATTTTATTTCATTCAAACACAAAAAATGATACTTTTACCTTTTTACTTTAAAATTTAACATCTAATTCACCAGAACTCATCATGAAATGAGTCATTTATGCACCAAGTTTGTGTATAAATTGTAATTTCCAGATTATGCCTTTTACTTAAGTACTTTTCTTATCAGTGAAATGAATTTTTACCAAAGTCATTTTCTGTTAAGGTATTACTTTTACTTAGTTGTTTCTTTGAAGTGGTTTATACATTTCTGACCTAGACTCAACTGTCCACCTACATCTCAAGGATTAAGGGATGCCTTTTAGGACCAAAATGAGTAGACAGACAGTTTGAGAGGGGTGAAGGAAGTCCTTTTCATCAAACAAGGAAAATATTACTTTAAACAGAAGAGGTTTCAGGTTTCAACTTTCAAAAACATAAAATAAAGCAATAGGTTCGTACTCAGTTTCACCCCAATTCACGTCATCATGCATGTGATCAAGAAGAACTCGTCCAGAGGACCTTTTCTTTCTATCTTTCTACCTGGATTTTTGCAATGCATCAGGGCATGAAGGAGACAGAAAACAGACAGAAGCAAACACAGTGCCTCATGACTCTCCGCAGTGAGGAACGAGTAGCTGCAGGTTGATCTACATGTGAATCTAAGCCCTAACAAGGGCCTCCCATGTAGATCTATAAAGCACAGAACTCCACACTAGAAGTCCAGTTCTATGTACAGTATTTAGTATTTTTTATACTTGTTTTGTATTCATAAATTATGCTGATGATGTAGAATGGGCWGCCTGTTTTGCCAAGAAGTTCGGTAAAGTTTGCAAACATCACCATCCTCACAGTGAAGCATGGTGGTGGGAGCATCATACTAATGTTTTTACCAGCAGGGATTGGGAAACTGGTCCAAGTGACAGGAAATTTTGAGTAAAATGGAGAGAAGTTCTGAAGGGAAACCTTTTTTGAACATTTAGACCTTGAGAGCCAGGGTAGAAGGATGTTTGGGTTTCCCTTTTGGGCCTTTTGTGACCAGACCACAGAAAAGTGTYAGAAGTTGCAGACTCTGTGAAAAAGGAGCACTTTATTTCAATTGCTTTTTCGCACAAACACACAAAGTTCTGACCAATTACTCAAAACTTGACGCGTACCTTGTGAGAAAATGTTCTGCCAGTAGCTTGTGCACAGGATAGATTCTCATGAAAGAACAAATGAAGCAATTTTTGTTACACAACTATGTCAAAAAAAGACTTTTTAACGTTTTGTCAACATTTATGTATCCTAACAACCCATCTGCTTCAGACCACTGCAGGTATAATTTAGTTTAGTTTAGTTTAGTTTAGTTTAGTTTNCAAAAACATAAAATAAAGCAATAGGTTCGTACTCAGTTTCACCCCAATTCACGTCATCATGCATGTGATCAAGAAGAACTCGTCCAGAGGACCTTTTCTTTCTATCTTTCTACCTGGATTTTTGCAATGCATCAGGGCATGAAGGAG